AGTTACTTAATTTATTCCTGTTTATGTACACTAAAATCTCGCGACAAGCTTTTATATCATAGTAGCTGGTACCCACCGCGTGGCTGCCGCAGAAGAAATAATATAAATTGTATAATGTAATAAATTGATGGGTTTGATTTAATGTTAAAACGCCAGGGTAACCCGTGATATTCAAAATTTCTTACGGTTTTTGCAATTTGCAGGTCAGTGTAAGGTTGTATGCTTAAAAAATATGATTCGCGACCGTAACGAGTATGTTTTTTCAATCAATAGGAAAAGTGAAAAAAAAAATGGTTTCAATAAGCATTTGTTAGTTATAAATTGAATAAAAGTAGTTCTTTTCTATTATTTTACTATAATACTTATAAATATATGTAATGTAATTAAATAATTTTAGCGCTGATTTAAGAGAATGTTACCAATACCTTAACAGATTATTCTTTAAAAGGCATTAGCTGTTACGTACGCCTGTGTATTATATTACTGTACGTACGTCATTTTTTTAACAAAAAGCATTATCTTACTTTCTGAAACACATAAATGTTTTATCTTTCTTGTCATCTGGGATTAACCTTTGAAACGCAGGTACATTACATTACATATACATTAAATACAATTTTTTTTATTCATCAAAAATGAATGTTACGTAAATGTACCATTTACGTTTCATTCATTTTTGATTTACTTCTGTATAACGATATTTACAGACAATTTTTGATGGCTTACATAAAGAATATTATAAATTGTCTCAAATGGTTCTACTGCGGATAACCTCTTTTCTGAGTTTATCATGCAGAGAAACCCCAAGCATAGCCCTCTCCATAGCTTGCTTAGCGATCTTGATACGGCCAGCAGTGAAAAACCACGTCACAGATCCATAAGTTATCACTAGCAACATTTTTATTTTATTTTTTATTTATTTATTTTTATTTATTTTTTTACATCAAAATTATATCTAACATTACAGGTTTCTACCGATATCGTATCGATAAAGCACTATTTACTATCATATATTACCTATATTACTATACTTCCTTATAACTAATTATCCATAAAGCAAGTTTTGTGATTTCGTTCAGAGTACAAAAGAATAAATCTGATTCTCTGTCGACCAGGTTTAATGTTCGAAAAGCTCGCGTCAGGAGTGCCTGGGTGATTGTATCCCACCATACCCAGAACAAATAATGTGGGGTATTGCAGTGGGTAAAAAGGATACAGCCCATATAACTTGAGATACAAATACCTTACAAATTTGTTTTATACCTTCTCCAGCATTAGATCGTACTTCTTCTCATGTGGAAATTATTCCCAAATTATTGAATTACACTCCAAATTACTCCGAACTATTGTGTTGTACAAAGCTATAATAGCTTGCACATTTGTGAAACCGTTAACCGTTTGTAACGTAAAACCTAGAGTTCTAAAAGTCTTTTTACATGTATGAACAATACGATCCTTAAACGTTAAATCAGCAGAAAATTTTACTCCTAAATCCTTGACTTGCATTACCCTAGACATAGGTGTCCTGTCAATGTAATATGTATACTCTATGGGCATAAGCATTTAGCGGTATTAAATTGTAATTTATTATCTTTGCTCCATTCAACAACTTTATTTATATCGTCTTGGAGACGATCACAGTCCTCCAAACTACCTATATCAATCGATAACTTAAGGTCGTCCGCAAATAATAAACATTTTGATTTCTTCACAACATTGGGTAAGTCATTTATCATGATCAAAAACTGCAAAGGTCCTAGATTCGACCCCTGACTCACACCAAACCAGGTAAAATATGGTTTTGTCTTATGACCCTCATGTGCTACATACTGTTGCCTATCTGTCATGTAGCTAGCGAAAAATCTCAACAAGTGTGGGGTTAAACCAAATTTTGCTATTTTTTTTAGTGATATGTCATTATTTACCAAATCAAATGCTTTTTTGAAATCAAAATAAGCAGTATCAGCTTGTCCCCCACTATCTACTACTGGTATTATATCGGTCATAAGCTCTAGAAGGTTACTCAACAGCTGTGTGTTTATCTGTTGATATAAGTTTTTGTATATAGTCGACTCAAATACCTTGGCTGGAGTAGATAGCACTGCTACCGGTCTAAAGTTCTCTACACTGGTCCCTGTATTTCCTTTTGGAACGGGAACCACCTTCGTTATTTTCCATTTTTCCTGAAACCTAGCTTGGTTTAAACAGTTATTGTAAATGTGAAGTAGTGGTTTTGCTAGCGCAGAATGGCAATCTTTAAAGATAAAAGGTGGTATTCCGTCTGGTCCTGCAGATTTCTTTGGCTTAAGTTGTTTAAGTGCTGTCAGTATGTCCTTAAGTTGCAACTGGCTCAAGTGAATTCGCGCTGCCCCGTTATCCCCTTCGGCGTCAATGATAGCCTTACTCACATTTAAGTCTGGTCTCTGTATAGTACACTGAATGAAAGTATTTTGCAAACTCAATAGGACAATGCTCGTTGGTCAAAATCTCCCCATTTTTTTAAATTTATTTTGGATTTAGATTACCTCTTTTGGAATTTTGTAAATTCCAAAAGGATTTTGAGTCTCTTTGGAGATTATTTTGCACACAGTGCTTATACTGGTTATGTGCAGTTACTAGCATATTTTTAACTTTAGTTCGCAACTCAGCGAATTTTATATAGTCAGTGGCTAATCGTGTCTTCTTATATTTTTTATGGGATGTAGCTTTATATTTTATTAAATTCATAATATCCCTAGTATACAATTCAGGGTATAACCGACCGTAAAGGAATGTGGGGCCATAAAACAGGCAAATGTTTTAAGTTGCGAATCCAATAGGTCAAGGGATGAAATCATCAAAATCGATAGTGAAGACAAAATCGAAGGAAATTTAAAGAGCGCAGAAAATTGGAAAGTTGTTACGAACAATAAAAAAAAGAATAGATAACATGCACTGGTTGTACAATCTTGTTTTGAGGTTTTGAGGTATGCTTGACAAGAAGATGTATCGTAATCTCCCGAACGCTTTCCAGCCGAGTTGAATACGACGGGGATAGTGCACTCAATTGCCGGAGGGCGAGAGGTTCTCTTCAAACTCTGTGTCTCGAGACATCGCGATAGCACTGCGAGGGTGCTGTAACGCTGGACGCGCTATTATTGTAGTAAAGCGATGGAGGGGCCCCGTTTGCGTTCCGAATGGAGATCCCCTGACGCCTCATATACGCTAATGGTGACCTTTATAGGGTTTTAGCCTATAGGAGTCCGGCATAACCTTGTCTTTGCCCCCGCAACGAATGGTATCCATGAGTATTAACCCACGTAAAAAGAGGTATACATGACGAGAAAATGTGTCATTATCTCCCGAAAGTTTTTTTTTAACTTAAAGTAGCACGGGCCCGTACTTTGTGGCATTCCTCCTATGTTCAGCATTGGACTTGTGAAGCGCTGAATGATGATGATGATGATTTGACGGCTCCGTGGCGCAGTGGCTTAGCAATCAGTTGTTGTGCTGGGGGCCGCGGGTTCGAATCCCGCACGGAACAAGTATTTGTATGGCCTACAAATAATTGTTCCGGGTCTGGATATTTGTCCTTGTGCAATTTATGTTTGTAAACTGCCTCCACGACACAGGAGAAAATCCTAGTGTAGGGGTAACGTTTTTTTTTTTTTAATATGAAATATATATAAATAAATATATATATACGAGTATAAATATAAATATATGATTAATAATAATTTTGTAATTAGTAATTATATCATCCTTTTCTTTCACATTGCCTTTTACTATCAAAATGATGAAAGGCAAATTTAATGATTTCTTATTTTTACACGAATTCCACTTATTGAATAATGCTTATTTTATGGATTTCTTTGCGCTTAACTTAACTACTTTTAATTTCGTTTCCAGTTTTAAGTTCGGTTTCGGGTGTGTTATAGCACCCTTGGTCACTGGAAGTCCAAGGTTTTTGACGTCCTGATGTCGTAGTTAACCTGGGTTATTTTTAGCTTTTGAATATAAATTTTTGGTCCGATCTAGGCAGAACAAGCTCACATTATTAAGAAGCCTTCCAGTAGTAGGCTTGTGTTTGGATTTTATTTTGCAGTGAATGGTAGCACACAGCCATCATCTCTATTGAAAAGTGTATATTTTTTTAATTTCAGTAGCCTCGTGAATCATTGTTTAGAAATAGTATTCTTTTGCGTGGTTTATTGGCTTATATAATCTGACATAATGGCAGGAATGTAATGTCCGACGGAACCATCCGAGGGAAGTCTGCATTCGGTAAACATGTTCACAGAACCATACAATATATAAGTAGAAGATTTGAGCTTTTGTGAAAAAGGCATAGTCTTTGGCTTTCGTTGCGTTTTGTTTGTGCCAGTGTCTTTGCCACTCTATTTACTAGATCTTATCTATATTTATTTCTATAATTATCTTAGGAGTTTAATGGACACAGGTAAAGGACGTATTAGTGCCTTTGGTTATGCATAATGACACATAATGTGGAACTTAGATATTTCCTTAATTGTTAATTGATCCCCGCAGTGTTCGAAAGTTGTCGTTATAGTCAGCTTGGGTATTTTATCTGAGTCCACAGACATTGCTAAAATTTTCTTACCTGGCTGTTACGATATCAACGAAACGCGCTATGGTTTTACTTTCGTCGCCAATCTAACAAAAGTTAAAAAAAACCTTCTTTAACTTTATATTTTTACTAAAATCATTGAAATAAACAAGTTTTAATTATCTTATTAACACTTTTTCTTGAATAAAAAAATAATACCTTTAACCGACGAGCGTGTATGCGTAGGTATATGGATGTGGAGGAAGCGAGAGAGGTGTGTCAGGATCGTGCCAAATGGAAGTCCATAATCTCTGCCTACCCCTCTGGGTGACAGGCGTGAGTGTTTATGTATGTATGTATGTATGTATAAAAATAATAACGTATAAAATCATATTACACTTATAACGTCAGTAGCATTTGTGCTTTTAATTAACGATAAAACTTTTTTGTATAGTGCGCAAAACGGGGGATGCGTGATTACGTAGACATCGGCGGCGCCAGTGGCCTAGATCACACAGAAATGGAAGTGCTCGAGAGTGTATGTGGACTGGACTCTAATGAAGGTAATAAATACTGGTGTTAAAATCCATTTTCATCGTCAATATTACTTGTAAGTCTGTGTCGTTTGTTATAATTAATAAGATATATTCCGCAAAAAGAGCTCGAAGAAGAATTCCAAATATTCTGCATTGCTAACAAAAACTTGCTCTGCAATAATTAGTTACGTTAATTTGACGAGTACCGTGTGGATATCTGGAAAAAGTTAAAATTAAAATGTTATGTAGGTGTAATGATTAATGTTAAATTTAATCTGTAAAATTTATCATCAAATTATTTATTTTATTTTACTTATTATAAGCCAGTGCTTCCTCTGCAACTGTGTCAAATCTCTTCATTCTTTCAAAAGTCTTGTATTACCTATATAGAACGCTACTTTACGTTACTTTGCCTTTTCGTACTCTTTTCATATCCATAATTTGACATATATCTGTAGTTACACGATTCTACATCTTTTTTCATACACCCCCCTCTATTATAACCATTGTTTGCATCAGTACCTCCTCGCATCGGTTGTCTGGAAAAGGTCACTTTCAGAGTTATAAGACTACCTGTTGTACATATATTTAAAATTGTACTCTACTCGTTCTCTGTATCTACGTGTACAATAAAGAATAAATAAATAACAAAGCCCTAACTAGTAAATTGCACTCTTACAGCTAACATATTAAATTCCATAATAAAACCCCCAATCAATAAAAATATGATTCATATAAAACTCGCATTAAATTGACGACTAAGTGGGCGATATAGTCATGTAACAATATTAACATACTTTAGGCAAACTGCTTACTGGCAGTTGGCCCGATCTCTTACTTCTTCTACACCCATGGTCTAGGCGAAAGGTTTCGCCCGGCTGAATCCCGAGGAAATTGTAGCAATATACTTAAATCCAAAAAAATCCTTAATTCGACAACGATATGAACTTCGCGAAATACATACATAATGTGTGCAATCGAGCCAAATTTGTTACTGACCACATCCATTATCTTGTTAATAGTGGAAGCAAATTCTTAGGCATAAGCTGCACCTTTATGAAAATAGCGTGGGACCTATTATGTCCTATGCAAGCGTAGCCTTTGCCCATGTGCAAAACAGCTTTTTGAAACAACAACTATCAGTGAAACTCAGACTTATTATATAATTGTGAACTTCCGACAATCTCTGAATATTTCAAGGCAATGTCTTAGTGCTACTTTGAAAGCGCCGAAGTCCACCCTAACGTGGTAAACGCAGCCGCCTACTAATTAATTTACGTCTACTATTTTTATTTTACTAACTAATAATTTTGCACCGAAACAATTAGGCCACGACAGTAGCTTCTGAATAGGTACTCTCAGGTTGTTTTAGATGAGAAGGATCAAACATATACATAATATTTATTATTTGCTAATTTAATGTTGAAGCACAGAATAAATAATAGTACTACGGCTGAAACTTCAATAACATGAGAAATATGTCAGTCCGATATACAATAGAAAATATTGCTTTTTGCAGAAATTTTGTTCCTCGAGGATAGGACTTTCATTGCTAAGCAAAATGATTTAGTGTGAAAATAAATTAACAAATCCTTACAAACTTTCATAATTAAAAAATTAAACTTAGAGGACCTTTTATACATTTTGTAATAACAAGTTTCAAAGATTTTTCCGTGCAGCGCACCGAAGAATATTAATGATTGAAGCGTTAATTTAATATTTTAAACAGCTTCCCACAACCGTTATTAAAGTTCTTGTTGTTCTTGTAATTTCTTCTACATTTATTAAATTAATTAACAAATTATTATTTTCGTTATGAATAATAATTTTATATTAAAAGGTTTTCCTTTTTATATAAAGTTATTAATCATTCGTTATATACGTTCCGTTTTGTGCTAATTTTATCAATACAAATTAATTAAAATATTCTTGGATAATTTGCATGTCTTTGAAATAAAAACAATACGTGGTAATGAATAGTTATAGCCGAAGCGTTACCAAGTGTTTTAAACTAGTACATAAACTTCTTCTTAGGCAGAATTCGCCGTAAACGCCTTGCTTGTAAGGCAGATGGTAATCGTACTACGAGATACGTAGGTATATTTTCTGCCACTCTTCGTCACTGTTCTGGATATTTGATTACATCTGGTATATATGAGATAATTAAAAATTTCCCGTGGTCTCTCATAAAGGTCACCCACGAGACAACAGGATAGAGAATTGTGATATGCTGCCACTTCAACGCCTTTTGCCGTTGCACATATTTCAGGCAAAATAGGTGCAACCGCAAAAGGTGAACTAGCCTTCCCGAATCTTATTATTTTTATTTTCTTATTATTTTCTTACATGTGCGGAAAATATTCCATCTAGAATTTGCGAGACCTAACCTAACCAGCCTGTCAACATGGAACGATTCCTCAAAAGCATAAGAGCAGAGACAGAATTTCTCATGACCTGTATTATGTTTATTCTCCATACTTCTAAGTGAAATCCAACAAATCAATGCACTGCTGCTTGGTATCATAAATAGTTAGTAATCTCAAAATATGACTTAGAAAGTATTTTTTTTTCATTCTGAATACTATAGAATGTTACTAACCACAGTTCCAAGTATTACATACACACACTGCCAGGCGTGGCTATACACATTACTTGGGTCAGCACATTCACATTGAACAAGTAACCAATCCGAAGCAACTACTACACATGTTATATTCGCCTTTTATTCGGCACTCTCGAACAACAAGCAGCTTTGGTACTACACTTAGCGTTTACGCATCTTCTTAATTTTTTCATAGAATAAGGTTGAAAAACAAACACAGATATATCTATCCTCCGGTTCTTTACATCCTATATAGTAAACACAGCAGCGTACAACTGCTATTTTACGCTGGAGTTCTGTGAGAGGTCCTTCGCAATACTATGTAACATAGATGCAGCGCGGCTCTACCACGTATAACATTTTCAAATTCAAATTGTTTATTGCATGTCACACAACAAATTTAAGATGGTGCATTATTGATAGGTATACATCGCAAACTTAGGTTACTATGTTCTAGTAGGCGAGTCTGCAAATATCGATCGTAAAACCTAATTGTAATAGGCCGACCAGATTCCTATAACTCGACTAAAATATGGGGAATATGTGTGGAATAAGTCTAGGGTACTACTACTTATGACCTATCCCTGTTAAGTATAAACAATCCTTTGCGATTATCTGAACTAAGTATCATTTGCAATATAATGCCAGAAACGAAGAGACAATTACAATGCACTAGACTCGAACAAAAAAAAAATGTACCTAAGTTTGCATAATGGCGCTATATCTAAATTCTAGATTCGAACTCAAAATCCGAACAAATCGGATAATAACAAGCGGCCATAAAGATAATGATAATGAACCTTTATAATATTATTATACCTAAAATACTATGATTTGCAAAGTAAGGACAAAAATGAGGCCAAACATACATGTGTGTAACATTTTCTTAGAATGTAATATTCATGCCATTCTCGACACTTTCCAAGTAATATCTAATACAATAACCATCAAAAGAATATCGAATAAGTGCCTTGAAAGGCATTTCACTTGACTCGTGTTTCAGGTCAACGACCCGCTTACATCGCGTGCGAGGACACCGTAGTTCGCTTAGTGTCCAGTGGGCTATACAAAAACTCCGTGACACTCGCCTTCGCCCCGTTGCCACTTGAGCATATCGAGCACGCCGACTTGATATGCGGGATGAAATATGTAAAGTGAATCGAACTCTAATCAGGTTTCATTAGATACATTGTCTTTGGCTTGGAAAACGTGAAAAATAATGTTACAGCCTGAACGTAAAGAAATAGGTATACTATACTAGTATGTAGAATAATTTAGTCAAATTTACTGTAGGAAGCATTAACTTATAACATCGATGATTAACTTATAAGAATGACGAGAATTGTAAAATGAACTAAAGCAACTAACATTATACTAAAATATTCACGGCAGAACTAATAATTGCTTATGTTATATACGGCGTTTTAGTATAATAGAGAGAAAAAGCGTAAAGAATGTTGGTATAATAAATATTCAAAACCATGTACGCTACCATGCAGTATTATTTATTTCAAAAAATCTTATATTATCTATGTACTATTATTATTTACATTTTCCAATATAATTTTAAGAATAACGTTATATTTAGTCATTTTAATTGTTGTAACGTCCGCTGTTGTAACTTATTTATTTAAATAATTACAAATTGTGAAAAAAGAAAACTAAACGAAAATAAGTGTCATAAAATCATATAACTCTACCGTAGAGTCTTGTAACTCGACACTGCAAAGTGCAAGCTTGTGGGGAGTTACAAATTTGTTGTGAATTTATTCAATGAATATCATTCAAGTATAGTCTAGTCTAGTCAAAGTATGTAAGTAAACAGGTGTAAAAAAATATTCAATTATTATAAACAATAAAATTGACTTTATTCATCTATAATGGTTTTAATTTAAGCCTTTGTTTTCATTATTATAATTAAGTTGTTAGCAGGAAGACGCTGCTGCCCGTCTCTTGTTTCAATTTCCATGTGTAGTCACTTACAACACGGATGTCAGGTAGTGGATACTCATATAACACCACTACATGCCAAACCGCCCAGTAGTGACGGCGCAAAGCAATAATCAATAATACACCGAAGTTCCCCTATGAGGAAATCTATGTGTAAGACCTATGTTCAGCAGTGGACTTCATGGGCCTCGAATAAATGAATGAATAAGCCTTCGTGATGTGTTGGAATGTTCGATAGAAACGAGCAAATTATTTATTATTAAATAGACCTGGTGTAAATTGTAAGTTATGACATATTTTCAACTTATATCCCACTAGGTTTTTCCTGCGGCTTCGCCCAGATGGAGGTCGGAAAACAATATTGCTTTAAAATAATCACAGCCATTCTATAATTATAAGACCTTATAAGACAGCATAAAGAAGTAATTAAAGGGTTAACTCTGGAGTTAACAGGACCTCGTGGACGCGCCCGCCATCTTGCGTGCGTGCACACCACTATCTGCGTTTATTTATAACTCGTAGTGTACACAACACACACACACGCGCCGGGTGCGCGCCGACGAGCCCGACTTAGCGGACCTCGTGGACGCGCCCGCCATCTTGCGTTCGTGCACATCACTATCTGCGTATCCTTATAACTCGTAGTGTACACAACACACACACGCGCCGGCTGCGCGCCGACGAGCCCGACTTCGCGGACCTCGTGGACGCGCCCGCCATCTTGCGTGCGTGCACATCACTATCTGCGTTTACTTATAACTCGTAGTGTACACAACACACACACGCGCCGGCTGCACGCCGACGAGTCCGACTTCGCGGACCTCGTGGACGCGCCCGCCATCTTGCGTGCGTGCACATCACTATCTGCGTTTACTTATAACTCGTAGTATACACAACATACACACGCGCCGGCTGCGCGCCGACGAGCCCGACTTCGCGGACCTCGTGGACGTAAAACTAAGTGTAAAACTTACTGTAAAATAGATCTGGATCTATTTTACAGTAATCGTGAATATTTTCGATTTAAAAAAAATGTCTTAGTTGGTCTCCGGCCCATAACCTATTTCGATGCAAAAAAATCGTGTCGACCAGCGAACACATCTTTGCATTTATAATATTACTAGGGATTGAGAGCGATACTATTGGTGAAAGTTAGGGTGAAGTGTAGTGTGAGAGACCCTCCTTCCTAACATTATTCTTTTATAGGATAGGATGACAAACGTGCACACAGTCCACCTGATGGTAAGTGGTTGCTGTGGCTCATACACATCTACATCTATCTTCGTTTGCGAATCAAAATGCAATTGCGTTGTCACCCGTGAGGGCTAAGCTGGAATGCCTCTTTTCCAGTAAAAAGGGTCTCCGGTTATCTACACTCACCATACGAAACACAGCAGTGTTAAGCTGCTATCTTACGCTGGCATTCTGTGAGAACGTGGTCCTTCCTCGGTCGAGCCGACCCATTCGTGCTACAGCTATACTACTAATATAGCTGCAGCATGGCTCTACCACGTAATAAAACTTCTGTAAAAAATGTATGATTTGCAAGAAAACGAAATTTAATATACGCAAAAACCTGGGTCGATATCGAAGATCGAAACCTATAACTGATTAAATGTAAGCTGCTAGGAAAAATATCAACATTTGAACAAAACATTTTGAACGAGGGTCTGGCGTCTGAAAAGAGGTGGTAAGTCCGTTCTAAACTACCTAACCCATCTCTCATCACAAAGACTTATAATGAGGAAAAGTATCATCATAGTATAGACTTTGCGCTCACATGTCCTATATGGACTCGACTATCTTTTTAAGAACACGATCAAATAGAGTATTTGGCGTGTACATTATTAAATGTACTTGAGGTACATAATAAAGGTGAATAAAGAATAAATTAGACATAAAAAAAGAAACAAAAACAACAAGTCGCAAGTTCTGTTTTGTTTATGTAAATAATTTTTATTACTTTTACATGAACGTATTAAACAATATTTGTACCGCGAAACATTTCATTTCCTACTCCCTTAGCGTTAAAATAAAAGAATATATATGTACAAGAGACAAGAAGCGTGGTTTCTTGTTTGTTGTATCACAGTGTTGTACACTTTCACTGTCCGGTTTTCAGACACAATAGTAAGACAGTAGCAATGACCTGCACAAGACAGCGAAAGGGTTAAGTAAAATTCTAACCTAAAAGAATGCTCCATAACCGTCTAGGAAATGAGAGATATGTGCCTAGAAATAGTACGTACCTATATAGGGCGTATCATTACTTTTTAACTTTATAACCTATAGCCGTAACATGACTTTGCACTGTGACAAATGATGCAATGTATATAAGTTTTCTATTTTAATACTATATATCGTCTACATCAACCCGTAACATTGCACTACTAAACATAGAACTTTTTCAACGACTGTAACTGTAACTGTGACTGAATGATAACATGGCATATTATTATTTTACTTCAGTAAGAACAAGCCTATATTCGTGCACAAACTACTGTCTGTTTTACTATTAAACATATCAACAGAATCTAGGGATATTTTATATTTCACCAAATATCTAAAAATCTATGAGGAATTTTCTGATAGAGTAAATGGAAGAATGATAGGTTATTTTAAGATCTTTAATAAAAAAAAAAACATTTAATATATTTTTTGCTTTGAATAAAAACGTAATTTTTTTTAATCGCCTTAGAAAATTAGTATGATAAAAAAACTTCATCTCTTCTTATAAAATTATTAGTTTAAATTTTTTAAAAAATCTTATAACATCTAATTATTACATCATCAATGTCACCACACTCTCAAGCTTTTCGTTGTAAAATGTCCCAGGCATGCTCGATAGGATTTAAGTCTGGCAACTGTGCAGGACAATCCAAAACTTAAATATCGTGGTCTCGGGGAGCGGCCGATAAGGCGCCGTATGGGAAGGAGCATTATCGTGCATGAGCAGAAATTCCTGGCCTATTTCTATTTCTAATTAGGACTCTGAGTGGGGCAATAACAGGCTCTACTACCTCCTCGTGGTATTTTTGTACGGTCTTGCTGCCTTGGTCCAAACGAGCTGGGTTCGTCCTCCAAGACGAATTTCTGCCATGATGGTCCCGCCTTGGTATGAGTGGGCCTCCTGAGGATGCCGTAGACGGTTAACTCTCCCTGGATTTCTCCAAACGTGTTCTTCGTGAATCCGGATGAAACCCAAACCGGGACTCATCGGTGAACAGCACCAAAGACCACGGTAAATCCTCCCGAGCCCACAAAAGTCGCCGACCGCGATTGCCACGTCGCAATGCTGGAACACGTAGCGGACTTCGAGCATGAAGACCAACTTCATACAACCTCCTTCTCACGGTTTGGTCGCTTACCAGCAGCTTTTGGTCTTCATGTAGCCTTTGTAGTAGTTGCATCGCTGTGATATTGGGTTGTCTTGAGGGGGTCATTTGGAAAAATCGATCCTATCTCTGTGCAGTAACACGATATCAACCAGTATGCCGTTCAGCCACTTCCCCAGTACTGCGAAAACGTGACCACAACCTTGACATCACGTCTTGGATGGTGTGTAGGGCCTCAGCAACGACGCGTTGAATAGCACCATTTTCTAACATGCCCACGGCTCGTAACGTTTCATCTCGACCCAAATGACGACGTGACATGACTCTTAAAGCTCACACGGCACGTTAAATTAAAACAGAAAAACAATCTAATCCCTTTTCATGAATTAATATCAGTAGAACAATTTTAATTTTTCTTGACGTAACGAATTACTAACAATTTTGCCGCAGTACTTTGTTTTTTTTTTATTTAAATAAATAAAATTTAAGTGTCTGTTTGTAATGTTAAAATAACAGCTTTTTATTAAATGCATATGAAAGTATATACGGTACAAATAATAAAAAAAACAATTTAAAATTTTTATCTGTCTGTCTGTCTGTTTGTTCCGGCTAATCTCCGAAACGGCTGGACCAATTTTGACGGGACTTTCACTGGCAGATAGCTGATGTTTTAAGAAGTAACTTAAGATACTTTTATTTTAGAAAAAGAATTAGGCTTCCGTGCAAAAAAATTAAAACCCATGAAATCGTAGTAAATTCCACGCGGGCGAAGATACGAGGGACAGTTAGTCTGTATATAAACTTTTTATTGAAACTAAAAAGATTTTAAACTATAAAGTCGTAAATAATTTAGGATTAAGTTATCCCTAGATT